ATGTATAAATGTACAGCTCTGTGTGCACTGCCTGTGGAGTCCAGAAAAGGGTGTGTGATCCCCCAGAACTGGAATTATGGACAGGTGTTAGCTGCCATGTGGGTGCTGGGAACCAAACCCAGGTCCCCTTAAAGAGCAGCCAGTGCTCTTAACCACTGAGCCATCTCTCTACCCCTACAATTAGTTTCTAAAGCAAAATAATCAAAAAATGAGTACTCAGCTCTAAATACATAAAATACATAGGTTATAAATTGTAATATATTATTAACATTTATATTATCATCAAAACTAGGAAACATTTATAGAACTGATCAGGAGAAAAAATGGAATACAACGATCTTTAATAGCACAATGGGTTGGCAATGGTTGACAACAACTCAGAATACCCTTCAAAATTATAGAAATTTGGAATGTCTCCAACACAAAGATATGATAAGAATCTAAGGTGACAGAATTACCAATTGTCCTGTTTTGATCATTTATACATTTCAGATACAGAACTGATGTGTGACAACACAGCTCATAAATGTGTGTGATCAATACTCTGTCAAAAATTTCAAAACTTAAAAACTAAGCAGTGGTTTAAATATGTAGCAGCTCAGATCTCAGCAGACCACCACAGAGTACTGAGTTCTGGCCTCCCTCTGGCCTCCATCTAGCAGAGGGCCTGAGAACCCAGGGGACTGCCTGAGAGTCCATGGATCCTGCCTCCACGTGGTGGTAAGCTTCCTCCTAATTGCACCATACCCATCCCCATACCTGGGATTTTGTGAGGCCCCTCTCAAGGGCCCAGGGCAAACCTGACTTTGGTAGGCTAAGGCTGTGATCCACCTAAGAGGGTGGGTTCAGACCTCCATCTGTGTAGTGACTCAGATCTCAGCAGACTGCCAGAGAGTGCCCAGTTCTGGCTTCCCTCTGGCCTTCCTCTAGCATAGGGTTGAGAATGCAGGAGACTGCCTGAGAACACCCAGATCCTGCCTCCACCTGGTAAAGGAAGCCTGAGCATGCCTGACTGGAACTGAATTGGGCTTCTGTGAGTACACCTTAATAGCTGATATGAAGCCATCAGTTTCCTCCAAATTAAACCTGAGAGAACCTGAACCATCTTTACATAACCAGTAAAGAAAGGATCTAGGCACCCAGATAATACAAACAGAAGCATACTTCAACTTAATTCTCATATCAGAATCATAAACAACAAAAGAAATTCACATGCCAAAACCACAACGAAAGAATAATAAAATGGAAAGTCAAAACACTATGTCTCCACCAAACTCCACCAATTCTATAGAAGAATTCTACAAGGAGAACCCCCTGGAGACAACCCAGGACACTGAATTTAAAAGGACAATCATGCGGGTCATGGTGACACATGTCTTTAATCCCAGCACTTGGGAGGCAGAGGCAGGTGGATATTTGTGAGTTTGAGGCCAGCCTGGTCTACATAGTGAGTTCCAGGACAGCTGGGGCTACAGGGAGACCCTGTCTCAAAAATAAAAATAAAAAAGAAAAGAAAAGAATCATAAACATGATCAAGGAATTCAGTGAATCTAAAAAACACATGAAAAAACAAATCAAAGAGCTAAAAGAAGATAGGGATAAACTTCTGAATGAATTCACAAAAGAGAAACATTGAAGAAAACTCAGGCAAAAATAAAGAAGGAAGTGCAAAACTCAATAAGCCAACTAGAAACAACGGGGGAAAGCGTCACCTCTAGAATGAATGAAATGGAAAACAGAATATCAACACCGGAGGATAAAGATGAAGAATTTGACCACTCAAGCAAAGAGTATGGAAAATTTTTTAAAACACAGGAAGGTAATATACAAGACACATGGAACACCATGAAAAGACCAAATCTACGTATCATAGGCATACAGGAAGGAGAAGAATTTCAGGTTAATGATACTGACCAGAATTTAAACAGCATTATAGAAGAGAATTGACACCGGAGGATAAAGTTGAAGAATTTGACCACTCAAGCAAAGAGTATGGAAAATTTTTTAAAACACAGGAAGGTAATATACAAGACACATGGAACACCATGAAAAGACCAAATCTACGTATCATAGGCATACAGGAAGGAGAAGAATTTCAGGTTAATGATACTGACCAGAATTTAAACAGCATTATAGAAGAGAATTTCCAGAAATTAACAAAAGACCTCCCCATACAAATACAGGAAGCACATAGAACACCAAACAGACAGGATCAGAAAAGAGACTCCCCACGACATATCATAGATAAACAGTAACTGTACAGAACAAGGAGAGAATACTGAAAGCAGCAAAAGAAAAACAACAACCCACATACAAAGGGAAGCCCATCAAAATTATGGGTGACTTACCAGTGCAAACTATGAAAGCCAGAAGAGCCTGGACCAAGGTATTTCCGTTCTAGATGCCAGCCCAGAATACTTTACCCAGCAAAATGTCTATTATAGTTGAGGCGTAAAGAAAAATCTTCCATGACACGAATAACCTGAAAGAATACATGTCACAAAACCAGCCCTTCACAGAATACTTGAAGCAATACAGAGAGCAGAGAGACAAACAACTATACCCTAGGGGCAATGAAAAAAAATAAAGGTATAATCTAGGAAATACAAAATTACACAGAGAACATAAACAGGAATCAAAATGATGGCAACCAATACACATCTTTCGATAAATAACCTTAAATATCAATGGACTGAACTCCCCAGTCAAAATAAACAGGGTAGATTAACGGATTAAGAAAACAAAAATCCACCTCATTGCTGTCTGCAAAAGCCCATCTCACCTTCAAGTACAGACACTACCTTAAGGTAAAAGAATAGAAAAGAATATTCCAAGCAAATGGCACTAAGAAACAAGCAGGAGTTGCAGATCTAATATCTGACAAAATAGACTTCAAAGTAAAACAAATCAGAAGAGATAAGAACGATCACGTCATTCTGATCAAAGGAACAGTTAACCAAGAAGATATTACAGTCCTTAACATATACGCACCAAATTCTGGTGCACCCAAATTCATAAAAACAACACTACAGGACTTTAAGACACAGATTAACCCCATCTCAGTAATGGTAGGGGACTTCAATACTCCACTGTCCCCATTAGACAGGTCAACTGGACAAAGGAAAAACAAAGAGGTGTCTGAATTAAATGATACCATACATCAAATGGACCTAACAGACATCTTTTGATTATTCCACCCAAACACCAAAAAATACACTTTCTACTCAGCATACCATGGAACATTTTCAAAATTTGACCACATACTAGGCCACAAAAAAACCTCAACAAATATAAAAATATTGAAATAATTCCATGCATTCTATTGGACCACAAAGCAATAAAGCTCAAAATCAGTACTGGAAGAAGCCCTTGTCACTACATGAAATTGTGGCGATTGAACAACACACTCCTAAACACTGAGTGGGTCAAAGGAGAAATTAAGAAAGAAATACAAGAGTTCCTGGAATTCAACGAAAAGAACAATACAACACAATACATCCTCTGGGACACATTAAAAGCAGTCCTAACAGGGAAGTTTATAGCTCTAAGTGCCTACATTAAAAAATTAGAAAGAGCCCCAATAAATGACCTAACACTGCAACTCAAGGCACTGGAAAGGCAAGAACAAATGAAACCCAAACCCACCAGGAGAGAAGAAATAACAAAAATCAGAGCAGAAGTTAATGAAATAGAAGCCAAGAAAACAATACAAACAATCAATGAATATAAGAGCTGGTTCTTT